AAAAAAACACTTATTAAATTCACTAAAATTCAATATATTCAATCTATACATTATATAGCTGGTAAACTTTGCTACAGAAATTCTTAAGCTTGTCCCAGGTCGAGTATCTGTAGAGGTAGATGCGAAATTTTCTTTTGATACTGAAGCAACGATCGCCAAGGCTAGGCATATTATTTCACTTTTCAAAGAAAGTGGCATTGATAAGTCTCGAGTAATGATCAAGATTCCCTCAAATTGGGAAGGGATTCAAGCCGCAAAGATACTTGAAAAAGAAGGAATTCAATGCAACATGACTTTGATTTTTTCTTTTGTTCAGGTATACTATTTTAAAAATCTATATCTTTTTTTCTCAATTTTATTAAACGTTAACTCTTTCTCAAAAACTTATTCTACGCAGGCTGCTGCATGTGCAGAAGCTGGTGTAACAATAATCTCTCCGTATGCTGGTAGAATTCTCGATTGGTACACGAAAAATACCAATAAAACATTTAAATCTTTCGAAGATCCGGGCGTCATATCTGTGACAAAAATTTATAACTATTATAAAAAGCACGGATATAAAACTGCTATAATGGGTGCAAGCTTTCGTAACACTGGAGAAATTGAAGAATTAGTTGGTTGCGATTTTTTGACAATTAGTCCTGCGTTATTAAATAAGTTACAATATTCTTATAAAAAAATTGAGAGAAAATTAAGTCCTGACACTGGTATGTTTTAAACACTCTATATAGTTATTGCATACGAATCATGCAATAACGATTTTTTTTTATCCAATGTTTGATTATTACAGCCTATAAAATAAGATCAATGCCATAAAATAATTGATTTATTTTATGGGCTGACCATAGTAAAGCATTGGATAAATGTATGTTTTGCGTTAAATTAAAATCTGCGTCAGATTAAAATATAATTCCGATAATACCTAACATAGATGCTCATCTTTTAAATTTTGATCTGATGCAAATTTTAATCTGATGCACGACATATACATATTTAAAATTATAATCTACAATATTTATTTATTTATTTATTATGAATTAGCACGTTATTATTGTTTGAACTCAAAAAAAGTTATTTATGACGAGAAATCTTTCAAGTGGATGCTTAATGAAGATGCAATGGCTTCTGAGAAACTTTCTGAAGGCATTAGGCTATTTGCTAAAGATAGTAGAACTTTAATGTTTATGTTAAGGCAACATTTGAATAATGATGATGCTATGGCTAATGAAAATATTGATGCTATGGCTAATGAAAATATTGAATTATTCTCGAGGCCTTTTCATGAGGTTAAAGTATCTAGTTAAATTGGGATTAATATAAAAAGGAACTATTCACTTATTTTTGTTTTTATTTGATTTACTTTATTCAGTTTTTTATCCATTTATTTTTTTATCCACTTATTTTTTTATCCAATTATTTTTTTATTCATTTTTTTTATCCAATTATTTTTTTATCCACTTATTTTTTATCCACTTTTTATCCGCTTATTTTTTTTATCCACTTATTTCTTTATCAACTTTTTATCCGCTTATTTTTTATCCACTTATTATTTTTATCCACTTATTTCTTTATCCATTTATTTCTTTATCCATTTATTTTTTTATCCACTTATTTTTTATTCACTTATTTTTTATTCATTTATTTTTTTATTTACTTGTTTTTTTAAAAGTTTTCGTTTTATTTAAATGTTTCTGAACAATGAAAATTACAATATTTATCAAATGTTTGGTTTTTGTTTGAGATAAATTTTTATATAGGCTAGGATTTGCTATAGATTATGGGTGTAAAGTTTGAGAAACAAAACTTTATACATTAAATAATTTAGATGTAAACTAAATTTAAACAATCTATTTCTCGTCTCGTGGAGAAGGTTGACTAGTCATTACAGAAAAATGTTGCAGCATCAATCTATTTAAAGATTAAATTTTTTTTTGGCATTTTTAAGCTAACTTCGTTGCCTGTTAATTTTGTTAAACTATCAATACGAATTACAAACATTCGTGAATTCTTGATAAAATATATTTTTAAACGCTTTTAGTTCCATAGATTTCTCTTCGCACTTTCATATGTTTTCGTTTAAACGATTTAGGTATTTATTATTGCTTCTTTTGAAATGGCAATATATTAAAAGTCAATAAACACGATCCGCTTCTTTAATTATTTTGTCATTTTGAAGTGACTCTAAATAAAAGATCGAAAATATAAATAACCTATCTCGAAAAGTGTTCCCGATTTTTAGGAACTTGTTTACAAATATTTAAAGGTGAAAAAAGAAGAAAAACTTACTATTGCCATATATTACTGATAAATCTTTTTTATAAATCCTATAACAATTAGAAATATTATGAATATTATAGTGTATATATGAGTCTCACTAAAGGAAAACCAGCGATTTTAAAGATAGATTATTACGGAATATATATTTTCCCTTGGAGACACACACATATATAAATTAATTTAACTATGGTTACTGCCATCACTACAACGAAAAGTTCCACACTCAAAATGAGGGAGGATTCATTTGAAGCGGAAACGGTATGGCAAACACATGCAGTGCCATTAGTTCCATTATTTGCCATATAGCGATTAGAATAACTTCAGTAGGGAATACCTACAACACAATATAGAAGCGATGGCGCTACTTGTACCTAACACCAATGTGCTCAAAGTCAATCCACACGGGCTACCATGTGATTGACAACCGAAGGAGTTGGTGTGCAGTAGAGCATTTCGTACTGTTACTTTATCGTTATGTTCGTCATATGTCAATATCATTTTGTTATGCGTATTATTATTTTAACACTGTCATATGATTAACTATAGATGCATTTTTAAATTGCGGGAATAAAAACTTGTATTTTAAACTATATACAATGTAATGTTAACGTTAATTAATTTTAAACTATTAGTGTAATGTTAATTAATTTTAAACTACAGTGTAATGTTAATTAATTTTAAATTATATATAGCGAGTGTAATTTAATTAATCTTAAACTATATACAGTGTAATTTAATTAATTTTTATTTATTCAATTTATATCTTGAGTATTGGGGTAGGGTGTCAATGATATAATATACTCCGAGCTAGTGACTGGACTCGTCAACTCGTGACTCGAACATCATTCTTCGAATTATGTAGCCGTAGAGCCTTACATCTATTAGTGCCAAACTCTCTATAATGTTAAGATCCTTGTATTGCTACGTAGCCGTAGAGCCTTACAACCACCAATGTCCATCTGCATATGATATTTAAGTCATTAATCGAATGGTTATTGCACTGTTTTCAGCCAATGAGCCACGATCATACTAAGCAAATTCTATTCATACAGTCATTGAGCTGCAATTAAGTTCCTTGCACTACTATGCAGCCGTGGAGCCTAATCGTCAAGCGGTCATTGCACTAAGCCGTGATCATACGAAGCAGATTCTATATTATATTCATTAAGATCCTTGCACTGATACACAGCCGCAGAGATTTTTAATTCAGATAGTACTTTGGGTGGAATGGATAGGACGACGAAGGCAGCCTAATATCATAAGGCAGGCAATAGCGAGACCAAAAATAAAATCTCCTTAATGCAAAATTTTCCCCATATATACCATCTTTCACATGATTAAGCATGATATCATTTTACGTTTACAAATCCATGTACTATACCATGATGTCATTTTCGATTTCGCAATATTGGCTCTGTCACTTCGTTGACGAGCCAATCAATATTTGGAAATATGTATAATTCCCTTAGAATCAAACCGCAATTAGTGATAGCCTTAAAATTGAATTTACAATAACAATAGTACCTAACTTTTTCATATAAGCTGACTAATTATAACTTGGCATTTTGTCTTAGATTTCATAAGATTTTTTTTTTTATCAGCATTTCACTGTTTCGCCTTTTGTTTTTTTCAAGAGGATTTGGAATTTCGCCATGATCTCACCACCATGTATATATAAAAATTGTTGATAAACATTAAGCTATCATAGTAATATATCTTTCACGTTCATGAAATTCAAACTATTGATATTTTAAAGGCCCATGTTATCATTGTAACAGAAAGATTATAAAATATAAGATTATTTGGCTGGAATCAATTGAGAATATACATGGTGCCGTCGCAATTACCCATGATAAGCTTAAAAAGCAAACCGTACGAATGCATGCAAACGTTAATCTATATTTATATAAAACTGACAGATGAAATATACGTACGTACGTACGTAGCAGGTTTTTCGTATTAAACTACTATGGTAATTTGCTATAGCCTGCACCTTATTGTTTTTTGCCAATTAAATACGTATTTGTTTCATATTTTAATGTATATACGTATGCACGTACATTTTATTTACAATTGTAATAATACGCCTATTATATACTTATAATTGTGTATAATTGGCGACAATCGTGTTTATATGTAAGTATCTAAGTAATCCGGTATACGAGTATACAAAGTATACGCGTATACTCAAAAAATATTTTTTGGGGGTGACCATTTCGAAAATAGTAATAAATTAATATCTTATATTATAAAAAACTATTCAAGCTTTATTTTTTATTATCTTTTGAGTTTAATTACACAGGTCAAAAACTAGTAAACCAGTAAATTTACTGATTGTAGATAAATTTTTAAATAAATACAAATAGATATTCTGATTATAAACTGATTAAATTCTGATTATAGATTATTAAATAATATTATTTGTTACTGATTTTAGACATTTTTTGGTTATAATCAATATAAAATTAGTTTAAAATTAGTTAATCTTATTTAAATTAATTTATTAATTCAAAATACTAGTTGTTATTAATTTGTAATATTTAATTTAAATTAACAAATATTTTACAATTAGTAAATTGCTAATTAAATAATTTTTATTATCTAGTAATTTTACTAATTATTAAATATTTGTTAATTTATATATTACTAATAAGATACTGATTTAAAAATTATTAATTACTGATTGTATAAAATTGTAATAATCAAAATAATTATAATTAAAAATAAATTACAATCAGATTACTATAATTAATTTGTGATCTGCTAATGAACCAGTAAAAAACTATAGTAAACTTTGGATATGTTTACTATGTAAATTTTGTCTTTTTTGGAATCTGGGGTTTCCCAAAGAAAAAGTTTTTTGTGATCAGAATGACAATTAAAATGTTAAAATCAGTTTAGTGAATCGTGAGAAATAAGCATTTTAGTCTTCACAACTATATGTTTCTTCTTTATATAAATAAAAAAGAAAACATATAGTTATAATTCACTAAACCGATTTTAATATTTTAATCATTATTCTAATTGCAAGATACTCCTCTACAACTTTACTTAGATATTAAAAAGAGATTTACTTAGCAAAAAAAACTTTTTCTTTGGAAAATTTCAGATTTCAAAGACAATAGTAAATTTTATCACTTTTTACTATATTTTGTCACTAGTTTATAGACAAACTATGAGTTAAAGAATAAACTTTAATCAGATTATAATAATTAAAGAATGACTAGAGAACTGACATTTATCAGCTGAATATACCTCCCACTCCAGAATATATTAATTAAATATTTTGAGGTTCCAAAGTTAGTTATTTAAAAATTTTAAATTTTAATATAATCTAAAATATAAATTTATAAATATTGTATTT